GAATAAAATATATTTTAAAAAAAAAAGAAATATTTTTTTAAAATGTTAAAAAAATAAATCTTAGTTGTATCTTTCATATAAAAAAATGAGAAAATTAAAGATCAATTTTAACAAATCTCACTTTGGCTTCTGGAATAGATAAAACTGTACTAGTTAATTTGGATCATTTGGTTCATTTGGGCCATTTCTGGTTAAGCCACAAAAACTAATCATCTGATGTGTTATTGTTTTTATAATAACATATATAAAAAATAAAAGGGAGAAAAAGACAAAGATAATTATGATACCTTATGATACATTATTAAAGACAACAAAACCCATAAAGTGCTTTAAAAAAGTGCAAAAGTAAAAAAAAATAACACATTGTTTTAATAATGAACAATTAGAATTCTACACACACTTATCTAAACCAAACAAGTACGGATGTTTCCAATTTATTTAATTATCACATTTTTTAAACTTACTGTATTTACATAAATGAGTCCCACATTTCACTATACTTACCTATACAAGGTCTATGTCTATAGAAAATCTGTTCATAAATGGCAAATACATCAACTTCTCAATCCAAATAAAAATATTTAATTTTCCAATGCTGCAGTTTTGGCCATAAGGGCCCAAAGAATCTACTTACACTATATTTTCTAGTTGTCAAATATATGTTCAAGAGAATATTCTGAAAATTTAAAGCATTCTCCCATTTTATAGGAAATACAGGAACCTCTATTTATTCACTTATTATCTGCATATCAAACTGATTTATTGATAACAAATATCTATAAAAATAATAGCTTTTTATTTTAAAGGATTTAACAAGTTGTTATAGTATCACAGATATTGCCAAGCTGAAAATGCTATTGGTCCAAAGAATAATTTATAACTATAAATATGCCATTGGGTAACATATGATAGATGATATTTATATCTTAACAGAGCCAATGTTCAAAATTTATCATCATTTATCATCCAAAGTCAATATATTGCTTCCATATATTTTTTTTCCTTGGTTCACAAATTTCCCAATTTTTAAAATTAGGATCCCCATACAGTTGATTTAGACAATTGTTTCTTGAGGTACAAATAATATCCATAAAATGAAAGATCACTAATATGCATATTCCATAGTTGCCCAAATCAGAAAATTATTTTCAGTTGTTGGCTTTTAATATTTAATATCATGTTGCTGTAACTCCAGATTCAAAAAACCAAATCTTCTCATTAATTGGTAATTGGACTTTCTATAAAAATATTCTCAAAACTGATGAACCCTATAAAATTTTCTGGGAATTTTTTTTTTGAAAATATTTCCCAGATATATGAACTGGAATTCCTCTTAGAATATAAAAATCTGGGAATAATACTCACTTTGAGAAGGCCTACCTATATCCAAAGGGTGAACTTTAATGATACCCAACTACTGATATTTGAAGAACCATCTCTACATATTTTATTTATATTACATATTTAGCTGAGTTTTATAGTATCTTTTGGTATACGTTTACCTAGATGTATAATGGTTTCGATACAAATATGTAATTGACATTCCTTAAATGGATGGGTAACCAAATTTTCACTGTATTAATATTGTTTTGATTTGGACCAGTTAATAGGGTATCCTGCTATTTTACTCAAATCCATTGAAGTTTTATATGTTTCATCTCTTTCGGGTCTAATAATTAGAATAATTGCTCTATTTTTTATTAGCTGAGAAACTGGGTTTTTCATTGTTTTCTCAGCATCATAAATAGGTTAGCATGAATTCTGTCTGCTGTTATATTACACAAGTTAATTCATACTACTTATAGAGCCGAGGTGGTGCAGGGGTTAGATTGCAGTACTGCAGGTCACTTCAGCTGATTGCTAGCTGCAGTTCGGCGGTTCAAATCTCACCGGCTCAAGGTTGACTCAGCCTTCCATCCTTCCGAGGTGGGTAAAATGAGGACCCAGACTGTGGGGGTGATATGCTGACTTTGTAAACCGCTTAGAGAGGGCTGAAAGCCCTATGAAGCGATATATAAGTCTAACTGCTATTGCTATTATATATTTCATAGATGGGTACCTAACAATCTGTGCCAATAAATGTTTCAGTTAATCTTTTAAATTATTTTCCCTTTATCTTTAATCTTGTTTTTGTATAATGCTTAACCAATATTTCAGTTACATTTTTTCTATGCTTCCAATTCAAAAATTTGAGCATCTGAAATCATCTGATCTGTGGAAAGGTTTTATATCTATACGTACAAGAATACATATGCCTGTATACAAGATTCATAGATTTTTTTTCTTTTAATGACCCTGTAATTCCTTGCATTGAGTGTAGTCAGGATGACTGAATTGAGCTGAATATTTATTGGCCAGATTCCCTTCCTGACACCCCAATATTCATAGATAGGTGAAAGATTTTAAAAAAAAGTTAACTCTCCATTAGAGATGTTTACCATCACAGATGAAATCTCTGCATCTCTGTATAAAACATCAATTTTCCAAACTTTAGAATAATTAGCATTCAGCATTGCCCTCATACACAAGTGAACATGTTGTACAAACAGCTGCTCTGTTTCTTTCAATCACTGTTGATTTTAATTTTCATAAGTAACCAAGGTGTCTCTTTCTGGAGACTCATTTAACATTTTCAATACATTGTGCATACTAAATAATTAACTATAATTAATCTGAATGTGTGGTGGCAAATATGCAAGGCTGGCTTTTAGTGAAAATGAAAATTGGGACATGGAATTTTAGTGCTAGCTCTATGGAAAGCAGCAGAAACATCTGGGACAAAACCCACATTTCCTCATACTTTCCAGCTTAACAACAACATTCTAACCTCCCTCCTCAAGATTCTTTTAGCCTACAAAACTTCAAAATAGCTTCTATAATAGGCAAATAGGTTTGTTGAGTTGAAAGTATATGGTTAGGCAGAGATTGACAAAATCCATGATTGTGGTGTTTTAATCTTTGTGTATTAGCTAGAGAATTCCTGGAAACCTGGCACTCTGACAAATTGGCATCAATAGACACAGAGACATAAACAACATTTAGTGTGCAAAAGAGACAATCAACAAACCAAGAAGAGAACAAAAAGACGAAAACACCTCCCCACCAGCAATCAACAGCCAGATAAGTGTAGATTAACACTCAATTAACATCAGATTAACAATCAAGACATAAATAATACTCAAACCAAGGAACTGTCAGACACGCTAACAGAAAACAACCCAGCAAAAGAATCTCCAAGATCACTCCCACCAACTTCGACAGGGCAAGCTACTAGTACATAAATTGAGAGCAAACCCATTCCTTATTAGCAATGATGATATTCCCTAGTTTGAATAATGAAACACCTGCAAGAAAACCATCAAGTTCAGAGATCAACAATGATCCTAACTTCAATGCTGAGCGCAAATACTTTCTTTATCGGAATTTCAGACAAATGATAGAAGACACAAGAATCAATATTACCACATCTCTAAAATTATAAAATATGGAAACAGACATTTCCAAAGTTGTCTTAATTCAGAAGGAGTTCCACTCTTGAATTGGCATGCAAAAAGATACAATGGACAATAATAATTTATTTAAAGATGATGAAATAACATGGAAGGAGTGTAAATAAAATTATGGTCAGCAGAGATCTCAACATCCAAGGTACCTTATAAGGATTTATAAACATCACAAAACTTCCTTCCCTTCCTTCCAAACAGACAGGTAATTGGTTGCTATAAGGTGGGGAAGCAATTGATTGTGAGGCTGGCTGGGATACTGTCACAGAACATTGAAATTAAGATCATATGATGCAGCAGCAGGCAATAGTATTGAAGAAGCCACAACTTTTCTAAATTGTATTTCCTTGGGAGTTATGTGTCTAGATTTTGTATACAAATTGAACCATTAGAGGTTCCTTGGTTCAAAAATGGTTGTCTGATGTACCCAGTTAAAGATCATGACAAGAGTTTTAGTAGTATAGAGATTATAATAACTTTCCATATATTGATCATGTCAACCTATTAATGTCTTTAGTTAAATGGGAGAACATCTCACTATCTCATGTGAACTCCATACGTAGGAATGGAAACAGAAATCCATATGACAGAAGTTAAACAGACTGTGTCCAGGTCAGCAAAGGAGTGAGACAAAGTTATATATAATATTTTCTCTTTATTTCTCTTCAATTTACATGCTTAATATATATAGGACTGGATTGGAAGAGGATGTGTAATAGTTTTAAATGGGAGGAAGAAACATTAATAATCAGCAGTCTGCTGATGACACATTAACTTCTGAAAATGCAAATGTTCTATTAGTTCTAGTAATGAAAGTCAATGCCTATAGTAAAAAAAAGGAATTAAGAGTAAATTTAAATAATATCAAAATAATGACACATACAACTTGTAGCTTTAAAACTGACAATGAAAATTGTGAATTGGTAGAAATATGCTGTCTTTTCTAATTGATTATCAACAGTGAAGGAGCCAGCTGTTGAGAAATGTACTTCAGATCAGCTCTTGATAGGTGAGCAATGAAAGTCTTGAAAATAAATTTAGATACTATGGTATGGCCACATTCACAAATATGGAGCTAGTGCATGCAATGACATTTTCTGTAATATCTCATGGAAGCAAAAAGTGATCTTTGAAGAAGCAAGATAGATAGCATACTAATACTTTTGAGTAGTGGAGTTGGTGAAAATGAATAAACATATCATGGATAGCTAAGGAAATTACAAAATGATCCCAGAACAATTCAATTTAGAATTCTCATTCAAAGCACAAATGACCATGCTTAAATTACCACACCTTGGACATATTATTTAAACTTATTTCTATGGAAAATTCTATGGTGCTGGAGAAAGATGAGAAGAAGAGGAGAACCAGCTGATTGTTGGAATTATGGATGAATTGCTGGAAGACTTAAATGACTATGTCAAGAGCAGATATTCCTGAAGAAGTTCTATGTCCCTGTAAGAGTCAACAATTTGGCAGCATATAATCAAAGTACAATTTATGAGAGGAACAACTATTTCTCCTTTTTGCAATGTTATGATATATTTAAAATCTTTAAAATATTTTCCATTGAAATCAGTTTAAGGAATTTTAATGCTTCACAGTGGTCAAAAATAGGAAACATCTGTATATGAAATTATTTAGTCTTAATTATTCAGGTCAAGAACAAATCCATGTTGCTTTTTGGGTTGTACTCTTCAGAAGTAGCTTACCTCCCTCTTTTTAGGCTTGAAAGCCCTAGGTATCATGCTTAAGATTGGGCTAGAGCTCAGTGCCCTATGTTAAGCCTGGTGCCTTAATCATTACTTCAAACTGCCTCTCATTCAGCTAATTAACCTTAATAAATCATATGGCATCTATGTGGGAAATTTATTGATTGGTGAATCCAAATAAGATATTACCCAAGAACACAAGTTCAGTTGAATTTTGATTAATACCTTGAAATGCACAATTTAACTAAAAAGTACAGTATTCTAGTTGATGAGAAGAAATCCTTTATGCTACTTTTTTATTTGAAAGTGGTCTTTAATTAAATATCTAGAAAGAAGATATTGGCAGAATTATAGATTGCTATCTTCTCTGATTATAATGCAGCATGAAAATATCAACTGCAGGTTACTTATGCCAATTTTAAGGGACATTGTGCAGTAATATACTTTTTAAAAGGAGTTAAGTAAAAGTACATAATTGCTTCTTTTCTCATGAACTTTTATACTAATTTTCTCATTCAGGCTGTGTTTAAAATGAATTTCAGTCAGCTAATAAGTTACTTAGTCTTCTCTATGCCCAGGGAAGCAGCCATTTTACACCTGATATGTGGATCTAATGGAAATTTTTAATGCCTAATTATAATTTTACAATAAAGAAAAATAGGTCACCAGCTATACCAAATTAAAGGTTAAACTATTTACACATTTGGTAATTTGGTAATAACTTTGGTAATTATTAAATGGTTGGTAGAATTGGATAATTGAATATGTCTTTTTCATACTTATTCCTTCACTATGGATCAGCTAGTTCAGCTATACTTTACCTAGTAGAGCAGCATTGTAAAAAACATGTACTCCTACCCTGTGTGAGGTTTATGTTGTCTGATTAAAAATATAGGCCATTTGTTTCACTACTAATTTTTCATTTTCTCTTATAGCATTAAATGCAGGCTTTAAAATTAAAAAAGAGTTTTATTGCTTTTAACTATGATTTTTTTATGATGAAAAGCAACCAAGAAAAAACAACTGATGCATCAAGTTGACATTTCTATTTTTAAATAAATCACTATTTCTGAGAAACATGTTAGCATATTTGTCTGTGTACGGAGGCCTATAAGTATATGCAAAGGAAAAGAAAGAGTAGCAATGCTTGGACTCGATCAATATGAAGCAAACAATTCTGATTAACAGAAAAAGTTACTTTTGGAAATACATGCTTTTTTGTACAAAAGGGAGATTATAGGGTTACCTTCATATAAATTGAATATAAAATGAATTTTATATCATTATAAGCCTTTTATGGATCAATTAAGTGGTTATATTTTTTTATTTAAAAAAGAATAATCTGTTTCACATGGTTTTATACGTTTATAAAATGTTTTATATTTTTATTTTAAATTTGTCTCCTTGGTGATAAAAAAAAGGTAGCCATGGGAAGGAAAATAAAATTTTATGGCTGTTGGATCATTGCAATCTGAAATCACCTAACGGCAGTAGATGAAATTAAATCAATAAGAAATCTTGGTTCTTTTGTGCTTAGAAGCAGTTCTTTTTGCAGCAATAAAGACATCACATAGTAAAATATCTGTTTTGGGTCATATGGTTGGGAGGATGCAAAAAAAAAAAAAATCAGCAACTTTCCTACTGTTACCTGACTATGTAATTTTTTTTCTTGAATTTTTTTTCTGTTCCACAATCTTTGTCCTGATTCGATTCATTTTCAAATTCAATCTTATTCTTGTTGTTATTGTCACTTATTCTCCACAGATACACAATTTATCTCATTCTGATCAAGCTATGGAGAATTATGTAATTGGAGTTGAGATCCTACCTATATGTGTGTTGACAGAAATATGGAGTGAACTGCAATTTTAATTACATATTTTCGTTCCAACCTTTCATTGGTTGCAAGGAAGAAAGCATTCTCAGTATAGTTTTTGGACATTCTTTTTTTTTCCAATCCCCCTGAGGCCATTGAAGGCAAGGACCTACCGTACTTTCAAATTTGATCTTTTTTCTGTTGTTTTCTCCCAGTATACTAACTGTGATCACTGTCAGTTCAGTGTTTATAAAGTTATTCTGCTGAAGGACAAATAGATATAATCCTGAACTCCTTTGCATAATTTATTTCCAAAGTTATGCTGCGATAGGAACAATAGAAATCTGTTATTAAACTTTCCCTCTTTTATAATAAAAATTGATACTATGATTTGGGAGCCTTGGTAATCTTAAAAAGTCATTTCACTTGAGGCTGAACTATTGAACTGATTATATGAATTGGTGTAAGTATAACAAGTTATGTAACAGCACTTGAACATACACAATAATCACCTCCTACAAACTGATTACACGGCTGGTTTGCCAGGATTGATGCAATAAAGCAAAATATTTGACATGGCTTTTTAGGTTTACCTGCTTATGTGCATGATCATAGGAATTGATGTGGTTGTCAAATTCATGGTGTTTATGGTACTGCTTGTCACATAATTCACAGTAAAAGTTAGCCTTCACATCTTCCAAAGCCCTTGCTGCTGCCTTCTCCTTTTCAGCAAAATCCTGCAAGGGCAAAAGCAGATGAGTATTACTTGATTAGTACCAAAAAAAATTGCTCACAATTTTCTATGTATGAAGGGACAGTGCTTTTGTTACAACACATAGGGAAAAGAATGGTACAAACAAGTTTCTTGTTAATTTTTATAGTTAATTTTGATCTAGGGAAGATAAACCTGTGGAATGTATGCTGTGTCACAATCATTTAATTATTTGGGCTCTATGCACCTTGTCTGAGAAAGAGGCAGTACCCCCTTTTCTGTGGGGACCAAAGGTCTCTGCTAGCTTTTATCAGCAATAAAAAGCATTTAAATTGTAAAGTGTGATGAAGAGCTCCAAATGAATGAGATTCATTATTTACCATTATGATATGGGAAATATGTTCCTTAGGTAAACTAAAGCAGTGCTTCTCAACCATATTTTCTGAGGAATATTATATGTTGAAGTCTGCACAAAAATTGTCCAGGCTGAGAAAAACTTATCTAATATGATATTTTACTAGAAATAAATCTATGCATGCATGTTAAAAAAATATTACCCTAGCTTAATTATTGCTCCAGCCATACTTAAATACTGCAGCTGACAGTGCAAAAGAACATAATAATAAGAACATAATAATTACTGTACAGGGATCATGGCCCCAACCCTGTTTGCAGTTTATACATTAAGGGCAGTAAAAGGACCAAGCACATATATGGACCAAGCTAATAATATTAGAAGTGTTGATAGCTACTGTATGTTAGGTTTTTCTAAGCAGATATTGCTCTTCGTGACTGTATCTCAAGTGATTGAATTTATATTTTAAATATAAAAGAATAATATAGAATTCCACAAGCAGAATGGTATACTGTAAGTTTAAATTTATGGCCATGCCATCCTCAAAATCAGTCATGACTAAAGCAGTAATCTTGTATACAGTAGTTTGAGTCAGGGATTCCTTTAAATAGCAATAACACTTAGACTTATATACCACTTCACTGTGCTTTACAGCCTTCTCTAAGTGTTTACAAAGTCAGCATATTCTCCTCAACAATCTGGGTCCTCGTTTTACCAATGTCTGAAGGATGGAAGGCTGACAGCTTTGAGCCTGGTGAGATTTGAACTGACAAATTGCAGGCAGCTGGCAGATAGGTTTCTGAATAACACATGATAGATACAAACTAAACAAATGGATTAAAACTGCTAGATTAATTACTGTTTTTTTCGTACTATAAGATGCACCTTTTTTCTTCAAAAAAGAGGCTGAAAATCTGGGTGCATCTTATACACTGAATGCCTCCCGAAACCCTACTCCCTTCACCAAAATGGCCATGCATATCCTTATGGAGGCTTTCAGAGAGCTCCTGGGGGCTGGGGAGGCCAGAAATGAGCAAAAAACAGCCCATTTTTGCCCCCTCCAGGCCCCCAGCAGCACTCTATAAGCCTCCATAAGGCTATGCTGTTGCAGCAGATTGTGGTTTGTAATCTACTTACGAAAGATCAGGACTTGAGACCACGAAGG